GCCTCTGACCCTCCTCCCTCTCGTGCTCTCTCTATCTCATTCTCTCTCAAATAAATAAATAAAATCTTTAAAAAAAAAAAGTTATTAACTATAGGGGCGCCTGGGTGGCTCAGTCGGTTGGGCGACTGCCTTCGGCTCAGGTCATGATCCTGGACTCCCGGGATCGAGTCCCGCATCTGGCTCCCTGCTCGGCGGGGAGTCTGCTTCTCCCTCTGACCCTTCCCCTCTCATGCTCTCTGTCTCCCATTCTCTCTCTCAAATAAATAAATAAATAAATCTTTAAAAAAAAAAAGAGAGAGAGTATCTGCATCCCCCTCCCCACCTACCTGCAACTGCACCTTCCTTCCCAGGCCAAGGATGGCCCCAGCCAGGGCACCAGCATCCATCTCCACCAACTGGTGTAGCCATAGTTGGCAATTCTCTCCTCATTTCCTGTAGTATCACAATTTAAAGTATCACTCCCATTCTCCTGTGAATGTGCTGCCAGTTCTCCCATCTTAGAAAGCAAAGCCCATGTCTTGAGCCCTTAGCCCTGCTGGGAGCTGCCCTCATTTCTCTCCCCTCTAACACCAAAGTTCCTCAGAGGAGTTTCTAAAACTCCCTGTGTCCAATTCCTTCCCTCCTGTTCTCTCACAAACTCTTTCAGTCACTAGCACTGCCTTCATCGATGTCTCCAGTGACCTTCCCGCGGCCAAACCCAGCGGCCAGTTTTTAGTACTCACTGTACTGAAACCATCCGTAAACCATTTTTCCTCTGTGCCCCAGTATTTCATTGGGAAAACCTGAAAGCATATAGGAGGGCAGAGAAAATCGTAGCGTGAACACCCATATTCCCCATGCCTGCTGTCTACAATTCAGCATTTTACACCGCCAGCCTTTTCGTAGTCCAGGTTCTTTTCGTCGTGTTTGGCTGAGCTTTCATTGATGGGTGAGCCTCAGGCCGTTTTTAGTTCCGTTGCTGAACTCTTTCTGCGCCAGGGAAGGGACAGAGAGTGAGGGAAGGCCAAGTGCAGGATGAAGGGTAATCACCTCAATTTGTCAGATTTTACAAGTGGCTGAATAATGTACTTGCTTTGCCAGTTGCTCTTTTGTTCGATTTGTATGAACAGTAACTCTCTGGTTATAATTTTTTTAATTTCAGGTAATAGGAAAGGTGATACACGTAACCGTATAAAGAACAACCAGAATTTTATAGCACACTCAACACCCACGAACACCGACACCTGGAATGCAGGTTCGTAGAATAGCATTCTCACCTTCTCTGTAACGTCCTTTCAGCACAGCACTGCACGCCCTGAGAACATGGCTGCAACACCTGAGTCATCAAACTGGAGCCACTTTCCTTTTAGCTACAGAGATGGCAGGTGCTGCTGGACTGAGTCAGGGATCCCGTATTTCTACAGAGTAAAAGAGGGCTTTGACAAAGGACAAGAGGCAGAGGAAGCAAATGGAGTTAGGGATTACTTTACGTGGGAGTTCAAAGTATATTTGTTCACGTAGGCTGTGCGATCTAGCCTCCATAGTTTTAAAAATTAAGGATGCTATTTTTTATGGTACTTCTGATTTTGTCTCCCATCCGCCTTTGAAATAACAATATGATTAACAAATATATTAACTGATAGGCACAAGTGAAATGAAATTTTATGAGAACTTTTCTTTCCATTTTTAGCACTGATTTCGCACAGACCTGCTCTTGTTCAAGTAGTTATAATTGCGTGTGTAGCCTTTAGCATTGCCCTGATATGTGGAATCGCTATTTCCTATGTGATATAGTAAGTATCTACGAAGTAACATTTACCCCTCTCGAGTAAGACATAACTAACTAGGTTATTATTTAGTAATGTTAATGATGATGATGATAATTCTTATAATCACTAAATTATTATGGTCATACTAAATCTCCACACTAGTGTTTTTCAGAGGACTGTACTCATGGCGGGTCACAATATAAATGAAAAAAAAAAAAGAAATAGGACAGAATACAATTTAGTAGGATAAAAAATATTAAAAAGCATTACATTTTGTGATGTAAATGCTGATTTTTTTTAATTTTTAAAATTTTTATTTTATTTATTTATTTGACAGAAGGAGACACAGCAAGAGAGGGAACACAAGCAGGGGGAGTGGGAGAGGGAGAAGCAGGCTTCCCGCGAGCAGGGAGCCCGATGCGGGGCTCGATTCCAGGACCCTGAGATCATGACCTGAGCCGAAGGCAGACGCTTAACGACTGAGCCACCCAGGCGCCCTCCATTCTTTCTTGAACCCTCTCCAAAGCTGCCTCACTGCCAGAAGTCCTCCACATTGTTAAACCTAGTGGTCTGGGGCGCCTGGGTGGCTCAGTTGGTTAAAAGACTGCCTTCAGCTCAGGTCATGATCCCAGAGTCCTGGGATCGAGTCCCACATCGGGCTCCCAGCTCAGCGGGGAGCCTGCTTCTC